GCGGGCCACCACCATCGGGTCCTTGCCGCACCCGGCGGGAACCCGGAGCGCGCAGCGGCCAGGAACAGCGTTTCGTGGTGCGGGAGTCGAGCTGACGGGAGAAGAGATCTGACTTTCAGGTCGCGCCGGACGTTCATGTCCCACACCACGGCAGCTACAGTCCCCGAGTCGCACCAAGGTTCACAGCAACGGCGATAGTGCGGGGGTCCCCGCGGTCGCCCTTTGCCCAAACCGCTCGGGATTAGGCTACGACAGTTAAAGTCTTGGAGCTCCGTTCTGTATCCCCGCACCGTTTTTTGCGGCACAAACCAAGAAACTTCTTGCAGTTCGGACATCTCGGTTTCTACTCCTTTGAGTGCAGAAAGTTGGAAAGCGTGGGTCCACTCACTTGAAACAGTAAACGTGGCCCCAAGTTTACAGGAATGCTAACTTGCAAACCGAAAAATGAATTGTTTTGATTTCCTTCTTCTCAGAAACCTAACCAAAGCACCCGTTTTGTGATCGTCATCTTTAATTGATTTCACACGTGCGAATTTGAGTTTTCCAGTAGGAATTCTATACTTTCACTCTCTTGCACTTCATTTAACGTGTAATTAGTTAAAACAAATCCCCAAATTCCTTAATCTTGAAAATTATATGTAAATAAAATCTGTATGCAATACAAAATAAAACATGTAAGTGGAAAATAATTGATTTGGGGCTGAGATCGAGGGTTTAGCGTTGATCACTGTAGTGAATTTCAGCCTTTCTAAAGGAAAGGACTGGAAATCAAAAGTCCCCTAAGACTCAGAAAACACATAGGTCTGCAAGTTTTGCCCTGGGGCCAGGGGCCTCCAAGTCTTCGAACACAAACGAGGTCCGGAAAGGAATCGCTCTGCGTCCTCATCCCAGCCTTTGACTTTCGGAAACTCAGGAAGCAGGTGGGTGGGAAAGCATGGTCCTCTAACTGGGGGACGCCGCAGGCTTCTGATCGTAAGGCTTTGCCTCGGCTCTCGGCCGGACCTTGGGTGGCCGAAGCTGCCTTAGATAAGAGTGCGGCTCCTGAGCCCACGCGCCAACGATCGGCGGCAGCTCGGACAGCGCCGCCCGGTAGAGGGCAGCGGCGCCCTGACACTCGGGTCCTCCGGTGCTGGCGCACTTGCCCACTCGCGCTCCTGACCTGGGTGCCTGGCCATGCCTGGTCCTGGAGCCAGATTCCTGGAGAAAAGACGCAATGCCACCTTGAGCCATTCCTGTCCCCACAAAATGCCACTTCTAGCCATTATTTCCCAGCCTATGCTGGGGGGCAGTCTGCCTTACCCTCCTATTTGTGAGGTGGCAGGCAGGCAGGCATCTAGGAATTGCCCTCAAGGTGGCTGGACAAATAAAATGTTCAGGAGCTTTTTTAAAAAAGAAAAAAACCTCCCGTGGGGAAGGATCAAGGAAATGGTTTGGATTTGGTACAGATGTTCTCAATCTAATTATCGTGTCGATCCCCTGGGTTTGAACCAAAAAAGTGAAATATATATGACCTGTGTAATACTCCAGAAGTACATCTGTTTGGAATTCAGGCTTCTGAATCCACTGCGATATTTTAGAAATAAAGTTGATGAGTATTAAATAACCTTGTTACATTTCTGGTTATATTTAATATTATTTACGTGTTAACCTGACTTAGTAAAACAATACCACATTGGATGACCTAGAGGTCAAGATCTCTTCAAATAAAGTTTAGATTTCTTCTACCAGAGTTTTGAGTTATACAAGCCTTATTGCTTTCTCCAGGGGGAAAAAAAGTTTAGGATAACTTCCCAGAAACACAAAACGTTGCCATTTTAAAAGGAAAATTGTTCAAGATAAACCACTAATCAAAAATTATTTTGGCTGAGTGAAAAAATCTGCAAATAACTTTTTAAAAAAACCTTTAAATGTACATTTTTTTCTTGAGCAAGTCTAGACATAGAATAAGAACAAATTACATCTATTCTTTCTTTTTTCAGATTGTCTTTCAGCTTCATCACTGTAAAAGTTCAGGAGGACCTTCTGGCATCTGAATATAGTGAATCTACAAAGCTGTGTACTGTGTGAAATATTTAGAAGATGAGAAGGCTTTAGGACCTAACTCTTCCCTGATAGCCACAAAGATAATGTAATAATGCCTGTGACCTCCTGGAACACAGTGTGAGAAAAGGGTGGATTAGCAAGATAACTGGCCTGGTACCAAAAAGCACCTTGACATGTAATTGATATTAGAATAAAGCACAAGAAAAACAATCCAGAGGCATTTGGTCACTTTTTAATATTCAGGTTCTCCCTTTAGGGGAAGAAAGCTCAAAGTTCCCAGTATGTGACTAATTCACCACCCCCAGCTTTCAAAATTAAGCCCCCACTAATCAGATGGGATGGTTGACCAAAATGGTGTTTGCTCCTGACACTTTCAATCAGCACCAAATAAGGCAACTAAATAACTAATATAGAAGCTTAGAATTCCTGAATTTAATTTGTGACCCATTTTATTTTGCCTTTAAAAAACTTGATTGGTCACACTGAATTGTGAAAATGCTAAGTAATGTAACTTACAGGAAATTGTAAAGCACCTTCCAGAGTTCCCTCTTCCTTACCCTTCTCGCATGGCTGACATCTACATATAGTTTATTAACTACATTAAGGTGAAAATTGGCAAACTCTCCAAAGTACCATATGGGTTGATTTTTAGTAAATTGGTCCTCCTTTGATAGCCCCCCCAAATGAAAATACACTGTGTTGTTTCCTAAAGATTCAAATTTAGGGGGCTGGGGATTTAGCTCAGTGGTTCCGCCACCTGTCTCACAAGTGCAAGGACCCAAGTTTGATCCCCAGTACCCCCCCAAAAAAATAGAGAGATTCAAATTTAGTCATTCTTCCGATATGCTCAACCTAATTCCTTAAGGGAATTAACCATCAAGAAATTCTTCCCCAAAAAAAGGAATGCTTCCAGATTAAAAAATATACTGTAGGGCATTGTGTTTTTAAATGCCATATTATTTATCTTACTGAAAAAAGCACTTATGTTCTGATATATTTATTATGGATTTATAAAGTTAAATTTTACCTAAAAACTTTATCTGGAAGAAGAGTTGGGGAATAATCTAGAGTT